AAAGTGGGCATGATATATCCCGAATGGGGGTATTTGATCTGGATGATGTAGAAGAGACCAAGAGGTGAACAAGGTGGGCACAGACAGCACTGACATGGTGTCTTTTCAGTAAATGAACTGTAACAGTATGACCCTGATGCTGGGGAAGATTGAGGGCAGGAGGAGAAGGGAGCGACAGAGGGTGTGATGGTTGGATGGCATCATCCACTCAATGGACAGGAATTTGAGCAAACTCTGGGAAATGGTGAAGAACAGGGAAGCCTGGCGTACTGCACTTCATGGGGTCACAGAGTCGGACATGACTTAGCGACCAAACAACAACAATTTGACCAGCAAATAAAACCTGCTGCCTGGGGATGTGGGACAGTCTTTGGTATTTCAAAATCTAGTCACGGGCCTTTACTTTGTTTCCTCTGGACAATAGTGAATCATCTTGCGGCACAAGAGTGAGTTCTGCCCTTTGTCGCTGGGTGTCTGGGAAATCCATGGTGTAGAATGGGCGGGACCCTTTCTTGTCTCCTGAAGGCTTGGCTCACAAGGACACTAGTTCTGGTGCCCAGCCATGATGGAAAGGGACTATCCTGACTCCCTACAGTCTATATTCTAGGGCAGACATTTGTTTATTGTGACTTTTTGGTAAGACTATGAAATAATTAAGAAGTTTTAAGATTTTTCAAATTTTTATTTTCATAGACAGCTGGGGTAACATGTGAGCTAAGAATTTATCTTTTCATGTTCATTTCGTCTGAAAACAAAAATAGAAATGAGTAAGTATATTATGTAAATCCAGACTGATTTTTTGACTGTCTCTGTATTGACTTTGTTTAAAAATATGGATGGTAACCTGGCAGCATGTTAATGGGCAGAAACATTGAACTGCTGCCATTTTGGCAGTCCCTAAGAAGAAACCAAGTGATAACTAAGTTTTCCCTTTTCTTGTGGAGCATGGTTACACAACAGTTACATTATTCTGCCAGCAAAGTAGCACTGTCTCTAGCCCCAGGAGAATTATAGCACATCTGGAAGCTGTGTTCTAGTGTTGTCCATGGAAGCGTTGCAGAACTTTCTAGTAATCAAACACAAATCCCCAAAGTGGGGTTTCCATTATTATTATTATTTAACTCTTGGAAATTAAAGAGAGAGAAAAATCTGTGCAGGAAACGTTTTTCATCTGTGGGTTAAGCAATACTCCAGAGAAAGCTGTATGCTACAAGGTGTGTGTTTTAGTCAGAATTCTTGGCTCCCAGGGACTGTAACCCAGATGAGACCAGTTTAACCAAACAAGGAGGTTTTGTGTGTTTTTGACAGATCCTGGTATAACTCACAGAACCAGAGGAGATGTAGTAGGAACGGGGCCTACTGGGAATTGGGCCCAGGTCCTTGAAGCAGATCATCACCCCTAGTCTCTGTCCACCTCCCGTTTCTGTGTGTGTCCACACACCCAGCTGTATTTTCTCAGGCAGCTCCACCAGCTGCTTTCTCCGTGGCCAGAGGGGTAGGTTTTGTGACTGTCCGCAGCAGGATGATATGAAGTTGGAGGAGGAGCATATTCTTAGAAGACGGGTGGGGGAGGTCTGAAAGATGCACTGGATTGGGTTATATTTTGACAACTTCCTAAAACTACATAGAATTAGATATTCCTAGGGAATATTAAAATTTTTTTTAAAAAGACACGTATACACACAAACATATATACTTACATATTTTTTGCAGATGTCCATGGCATGTTAAATGAAAAAAAAAAAGGTTATTAAATGGTTTATAGTAGGTTCTATTTCCATAAAAATAAACCAGCCAGCTCCTATATGTGTGCATAGCTCCTATATGTGTGCATATGTCTGTGTGTCTGCATTTAGTAAGGAGAAAGGCAGGGAAGGACACAAAGGCTGGTTGAGAGTAGGGGTGGAGTGGGGAGATGATCAGCTTTGTCTTTATGTATCATGTACTGTGTCCTTTCACTTGTTAAAATAAGCCTGTATTGTGCTTGTAATTTGAGAAGCATTAATTAAGGAAAAGAAGAGGAGCCTATTCCGACTGACCTCAGGAGAGTGGATGCAGGGACTGAGGTGGTCATGTCATCTCTTGAGTTTTTTTCTGACCATGCCTCACACTTGTGGGATCTTAGTTCCCTGACCAGGGATTGAACCCTTGGCAGGGTTCAGATAGGGTCGAGACCCTTGGCAGTGAGATCGCCAAGTCCTAGCCACTGGGAATTCCCTGGGAGTCATGTCATCTGAGGCTGGAAGTCCAGGGCATCCACTCTTGCCAGACTCCCGGGCTGGGAAGCACAGCAGAGGATGTGGCAAACCAGCCCCTCCTGGAGCGGCAGCAAACGGCAGAGCTGAGGTCCTGACAAGGGAACCAGTGATGTGTGACCTTGTGAGGTGCTGAAGATCCAGCTGATGATAGCAGCTGCCACTTGCAGCCAGCCCTGCCATTTCCTGGGTGCCTGCACTGTGCTGGGTGCGCCACACACACCTTAGCATGTGATTCTCAACAGTTCAGGGGGCTGCTTTCAGTTACAGCTGATAGCTGAGACTCAGGAAAAATGGTATGCTTCAGGGCTCACTGCCAGTAAATGGCAGGTTTGGGTTTAGGATCCTTCCCCCAAAACCACAGCCTTCTGAGCAGCAAGCCTTTGTTGACATTTCCCACTCACTAACCAAAGGTGTGGGGCTTCCCTGGTGGCTCAGTGGTAAGGAATCTGCCTCCCAATGCGGGGAACTCCGGTTCGATCCCTGGGTGGAGAAGGGAATGACAACCCACTCCAGTATTCTTGCCTGGGAAATCCCGTGGACAGGGGAGCCAGGTAGCTACCGTCCCTGGGGTTGCAGAGTTGAACACAACTTAGCAACTAAACCAGCGCCATCAGCCAAAGGAGTTAGAGTGGCTGTGAATTTAGATGCATGGTCTTTTTTCTTGAGATGGAATTGTTCCATCTGAACAAAATCCTAGTTTTAAAATATTTAATAATCACAGAATGGAAGAATGACTTTAAGGCAAGTGGCATCTGCTACTGGGGGGGCCGTGCCTGTTTCTTACTGCCACCTGCTAAGAGCGACTAGGGAGAGGACGGATCTGGTGATTGGGATTCGAGTATGAATCCAGTTTAGGACACTTTGAATTGTAGGTGCTTATGGACCTGGAGCAGAGATGGCCATGGGTGATACTCATTTGCATCTCAGAAAGTTCTTGAATAAGACAGAAAGACAGAAGAAAACCCTAGGTACACGGTGGGTTTTTTTTTTTTTTAAAGGAGATAAAAAACACACATGGAAATAATATGATCTGAATTTTTAAAAATTAGATATAAATTTACCAAGTAACAGTTATGTATGGTTATATGGTAGAATTAAGGGTGTTTATTTTCTTCTGAATATTTTTCTCTATGTATTAAGGTTTTTCATAGTGAATAAACATTATTTCTATAATCAGGGGAAATGTTACTTAGAAAATGAAGGCTTCCCCGGGGACTCCTGGAAAAGAATCCACCTGCCAATGCAAAAGACATGGTTCAGTCCCTGGGTTGGAAAGTTCCCACGTGCCAAGGGAAGCTAAGCCCACGCACCACAGCTATTGAGTCTGTGCTCTAGAGCCGGGGAGCTGCGATTCCTGAAGCCGCACGCCCTGGAACCTGTGCTGCACGACAGGAGAGGCCACTGCAATGCAGCCCACGTGCTGCAACAAGGAGTAGCTCCTCCCCTGCCGCTCGCCGCAACTAGAGAAAAGGCCGAGCAGCAATGAAGACCCAGCACAGCCATAAGTAAATAAATACAATTTTTAAAAAAAAGAGAAGGAAAGCTGTTTCCTTAGTGGAAAATGTCCCATCAGGATATGAACAGGAAATGAACAGAGTGTGCATCACTGTCCTGGGAGGTGTGTATGAACAGAAGCTCAGGTTCCCGCATGATTACAAACACATAAACCCAGCTTGTGGCAGTGGACAGACCAGGAGCTTGAGAGAAAGTAAGAAGGCCATTAAGGGCTGTTTCTAGAAATACCAGAGCCTCCTCAGCCCATCCTCCCCTATAGGCAAGTTTTGGAAATCTGGCTCTGGGACAAGTTGTGTCTGTGGCGTGTGGCTGAAATCGGCATCAGAGGAGGGTAGGGGACTGAGTATTTAAAACAGGTCTTCTGAGGCTGTCCCTTGATGCCACAGCTTGTGTTTCAAGCCATTATTCCTGTTCACAGCATGGAAGGTAGCTTGAGAGAACTTGCTATTAAAGCTACCAGCTGAGCTGTGACTGGTCATCCATTTGCAGAAATGAATGCCTGTCCTGGCTTGAAGTAACTGCTCCTAGTGTCACCTGGAGAGGCTGCTTCCTCTTTCTGGGCCCCAGTTGCCTGGACTGTCAAATAAGGAAACGGGGATGGAGAGTGCATCTCAAGAGTTTCTTCAGCCTCTAAGGTCCGAGGATCCCCAGACCTTTCCAAAGATCTGAGGTTCTTTGGAAAATGGAAATATCTTAGAGGTAGTGATTCAGAGTGGCTTATATACACTTGAAAGGTGGCTATTGTGATGGAGGGACTGAATTTTAAGTTTTACTACATTTTAATTTAAGTTTATATAACCATATGTGGCTAGTGGCTACCCTATTGGACAGCACAGCTCCTTAACTGGAAAATCTAAGGTGAGCATTTGGAATGCCTGTATACATTTTTATATATACCTACTTTGAAATTGAAAGAAACTTTCTAATTTCAGAAAAACCGTTTGGGTTCCTTACAGACAATACAGACAAGAAGAAAAAGAAACTAAAAAATAGTCACGAAAACACCTACTCAGTGATGACTGCTCTTGGCACCTTGGTGTTTAACTTTCTAAATTCCCTTCTGTGCTCATGTCTTAGGTAGCCAGCTGGCTTTCAACAGCATAGCTTGAAATCATCCAGGAAGGGATGAGACATGTTAGGAGAGAATGCCTGCTCACTGCCCAGCAGAGAATACTGATAAAGACTTTAGCAATCTGCCCTGGCTGATGTTTCTTTTCTGGGTGCTAGGTTATCAACCCTATGGGCTGGGATGCATTTGGATTGCCTGCCGAAAATGCTGCGATCGAGAGGAATCTACATCCAGAAAGCTGGACGCAAAGGTATGTGTTTACAAGCATATTCAAGTACTTGTATACATTACCCTTAAACAATTTTTTTTTTTTAAACCTGTGCATGAGAAATAGAAAGCAAAGGAAACAAAACACTGCAGTCTGCCAAGCAATAAAAAAGGATTGTCTATATTGGTATTTGCTTTTTCTCACACTGCGTTCTTATCTAAGAAATAGCACAGAGTGTTTGGCTATTCATTCATATGTTCATTTAGATGCTTTGTTATTTACAGTTATTCTTCCTTTGAGTATTTGCATTTAGAAGGAAAAAGGAGGAAGAGAGGATGACATCTGTTAAAGTTCTACAGTGCTCTTCATCTTCTTGACCTTAGTTTGAGCCATATCCAAAAGCCACCTTATAATTTTCTCTGCAAATTTTAATTTTTTTGGCTTCACCATTCTGAAGCAAGAGGAACACAGATCGTCAACAAGGAAATATATGGCCACTTTATTGTAGGTGTGGCTTTCTTTAAGGAGGACATAGCCTGAGTCCCCCGTGGCCTCAGGCTTCCATGTGCTCAGGCAATGCTCATCCCTCTTCCTCCTGATAAAGCCTTGAGGAACTTGAACTAGAACCCAGCACAATACTCTGGGCTCACTCCAGCTCCTTTCATAAAGCCATTCCTCGCCCTACCCCTCGGAGGTGTAGAGGGCAGTTCAAGGCCTATCCCCATTGTCTTTCGCCTTCCTTGGCTTAATCTTTGCCCAAAAGAAACATCTTCTGCACCATCTACTTCTCTTTTTCCTTCCTCATCCCTGGTTTCCACTTTTCCAATTATGGTTAATTCTGAAGTAGTAAGAGTGATGAAAAAAGGAGGAAATGATGATTCAAATAAAAAGGGTTAAATATGGTATAAATTTGATATCACCCAGGAGAGTAATTGGCAAACTCTGTAGGCTAAATTTGGCCCTGCCTGATGGGGCTTCCCTGGTGGCACAGAGGGTAAAGAATCCGCCTGTAATGCAGGAGACCCCAGTTCAATTTCTGGGTTGGGAAGGTCCCCTGGAGAAGGGAAAGGCTACACACTCCAGTATTCTGGCCTGGAGAATTGCACGGATTGTATAGTCCATGGGGTTGCAAAGAGTTGGACGTGACTGATTGACTTTCACAAAAGATTTTATAAACAAAGTTTTATTAGAACTCAAGCCACACCCATTTGTTTCTATATTGTTCATGGCTGCTTTCATGATACAGTGGCAGAATTGAGTAGTTGTGACAGAGACCGTATGCCTCATATGGAGCTGGAAACTTTTGCCATCTGGGCCTTTACAGACAAAGTTTGCCAGCTTCTCCACAAGAGCATAGCAGTAAAGAAGACGGCCCCAGAATCAGGCCACATAGGTACAAATCCTGCCTTTCTTTCTTCCTAGCCATTCACCTTGAGCAGATTACTTAACCTCTCTGCCCCTCAGGTTATTTATCTGTAAAGGAGGATAATGATTAAGCACTGTCTTAGTCAACTGCTATAAAAAGCAAAAATAACATCCAGTTGTGAATGGGACTGGTGGTAGAAGCAAGGTCTGATGTTGTAAAGAGCAATATTGCGTAGGAACCTGGAATGTTAGGTCCGTGAATCAAGGCAAATTGGAAGTGGTCAAACAGGAGATGAACGTTGACATTCTAGGAATCAGCAAACTAAAATGGACTGGAATGGGTGAATCTAACTCAGATGACCATTTTATCTACTACTGTGGGCAGGAATCCCTAAGAAAAAATGGAGTAGGCATCATAGTCAACAGAAGAGTCCAAAATGCAGCACTTGGAGGCAATCTCAAAAACGACAGAAAGATCTTTTTGTTTCCAAGGCAAACCATTCCATATCATGGTAATCCAAGCCTTTACCCTGACCAGTAATTCTGAAGAAGCTGAAATTGAACGGTTCTATGAAGACCTACAAGACCTTTTAGAACTAACACACAAAAAAGATGTCCTTTTCATTGTAGGGAACTGGAATGCAAAAAGTAGGAAGTCAAGAAACACCTGGAGTAACAGGTAAATTTGGCCTCGAAGTACAGAATGAAGCAGTGCAAAGGCTAATAGAGTTTTGCCAAGAGAATGCACTGGTCATAGCAAACACCCTCTTCCAGCAACACAAGAGAAGACTCTACACATGGACATCATCAGATGGTCAACACCGAAATCAGATTGATTATATTCTTTTCAGCCAAAGATGGAGAAGCTCTATACAGTCAGCAAAAACAAGATTGGGAGCTGATTGTGGCTCAGATAGTGAACTCCTTATTGCCAAATTCAGACTTAAATTGAAGAAAGTGGGGAAAACCACTAGACTATTCAAGTATGACCTAAATCAAATCCCTTATGATTATACAGTGGAAGTGAGAAATAGATTTAAGGGACTAGATCTGATAGACAGAGTACCTGATGAGCTATCGATGGAGGTTCATGACACTATACAGGAAACAGGGATTAAGACCATCCCCAAGAAAAAGAAATGCAAAAAAGCAAAATGGCTGGCTGAGGAGGCCTTACAAATAGCTGTGAAAAGAAGAGAAACAAAAAGGAAAGATATACCCATTTGAATGCAGAGTTCCAAAGAATGGCAAGAAGAGATGAGAAAGCCTTCCTCAGTGATCAGTGCAAAGAAATAGAGGAAAATAATAGGATGGGAAAGACTAGAGAGCTCTTTAAGAAAATTAGAGATACCAAGGAAACATTTCATGCAAAGATGGGCTCAATAAAGGACAGAAATGGTATGGACCTAACAGAAGCAGAAGATATTAAGAAGAGGTGGCAAGAATACACAGAAGAACTGTACAAAAA